AGGGGTGCAGGAGCGTTTCAGGAAGAGCTGCAGTGTTGGGCTGAGATAAGCTGCCTTCTCCTGGCTTTACTGGAAGTCCCGGGACCATGCCGACTCCCCGCAGGGACCATTCAGGTGAAATCAGTGCTGACGGGAAAACACCACACTTCCTTGGTTCTCTGAGTAAAATGCACTCAGCACCGCGTGTCCTCCGCCTCAGGTGCTCCAGGCGCTGCCCACAGAGAGCCTGGGAGGCTCCGAGAAAGGCCCAAATCCAGTCACAATCTTTTTCTCACAAGGAGGGAAACCCACCTTTCCTACCTACCTCCTTTCCTTCTAGTGGAGGGGGTGCTGCTTACTGGAAATCACGGGGAACCCCAAGGCTCCTAAGACCCAGATAGTAGTCATTTGGAGCAAGGCTTTAGGGTCAGGCAGACCTGACTTCACTACTTACTAGCTGTGCACCTTCGGGGGTTCACCTCTGTGAACCTCACTTTGCTCATCTGTCTGTCCATCAGGGACAAGAACAAAATCTACCTCACAGGGTTGTTATAAAGATCTAGTAAGGGGATGCATGCAAAGTGCCACATAATCAAACTGGCATGTTGAAGAGGCCCCATAAGTTAGCTATAATAATACTAATTATCATTCTGCAGAAGTGTGTCCATCCACGTGGCCCCCAGACCTGACTGGCAGGTCAGAATGAACGTGCCCGCATGCAGAAGGGCTGAGGAGCGGTGAGGAGGGGGGCTGGCGTGGCCAGAAAAGGAGGATCCAGAGGGGCTGGCCGGGCGAGCTTCTGCTCCTTACACCCTCACCCCTGTACCCCACCCATCCAAGCACAGGGCCCATCGGACCTTCTCTCTTGCGTCTGGGGAGCCCTGCAGCCTCCAGGAGGGGTCACTGCAGCTCTTGCTGCTCTAGCATGAAGTTCTCACATCCTGCCTCCTCTGGTCTGTAAAAGCCCAGCCCTGAGCAGGAAGGGAATGTGTGCTGAACCACAGTCCTCCATGCAAACCTGGAGGCTTAACACCCAGACCGCCACAAGCATCGAAGCACCCCTACCGCTGAGACCCACGGACCAGCTCTGCTGTGCTTAGAGATAAGCTCTCACCAGATTTGTGTTCACATGTAGTCTGACAGTGCTCGTCAATCCTCTTGAAAGAAAGCCAAGGTTGCAATGTTTTAAACACATTTTGCGCCTTGCAACATATTTAAAGTGGATTGGTGTCATAAATTTGGATCAAATAGGTACCACATGGGTACACAACCATGCTCACAGTGTCCAGGCAGCGGGGCTGGCCCTGAGTGGGGCTGGGGCAGCACGGGGCCTGCGGCCACACTGGGCTTCGATTCTGAGGAGCTGGTGGAGAAGCCCGCCCTGCCGGCCGGGCTGGCCTCTGGGAGGCTGCCAGGTTGGGTCCAGTTGCTGAGGTGGTGGTGGGTCGGTGGAGAAAATCATTAGCAGAATTCAAGGGCTGAGAAACATCTTTGCTGAGAGTTAAATTCCAACCCACGCTGAAAAAAGGCTCCCAGCACGTGTGTCGCGTCACTGGTGCTCAGCAGTTGAAGCAGATGTGGAGGTCCCTTGGTCACTCCCCAGGTCCCCCTCACAGCCTGACCCCTGTCCCAGCGCTGTGTTCCCACCTGCCAGTGCTGCTCCTCCCTGGGGTGGGGAGCAAACTCATCTCAGCTCCTGTCAGCAGGCCACCCTTCCTGTCGCAGCCTCTTTGCCATGCCTCACTCCAAGCAGAGACAGAAAGGAAAGGAGAGAGAAAGAGAAATGATGGACCAAGGAAGGGTGCTTGCGGGAAGAACCCTCTGCATCCCAGAGAACACAGAGGGCAGCGGTCTCTGCACAGTGAGCTCAGCCTGGGCGAGAGCCCCTGAGGAGACATGTGCTTCTGCACCGGGGCGAGCAGGCTGGCCTCTGGGCTTGGGCTCATGTGACCTAGCTTCCCATTCTGGAGGATTATTCACCAGCTGTGCAGCCTAGGACAAAGTATCAACCTCTCTGAGCTCATCTAGGCAGTGAAGATAATGAGCTGGGCCACAGTGAGGACTGAGTGAGGTAGGAAACGAATGATTTTTGGCTAAAACGGAGACGTAAAGCATTGCTGCACTTGTCCTCGGGCGCTAGTCTCTTCCTCTCAGAGTTCTGATGAGAAGCAGACTTCTGCCTGGGCGTGGTGACCACTGAAGCCAAGGCCCACGGGCCCGGTGGGCCTGGGGCCATGGTACGGGCACGTGGAGCCTTCTGAGAGTTGCCTGACCTGGAGGAATGACCCCAGGTCAGTAGGGGCCAGCCCTCTGCTGCCGGCCACCAGTGCCCAGTGCATACCTTCTGGGCTTGGTTGGATGAGGAGGCTGTGTCTGAGGTGATGACAGACAAGTGTCCCAGCAGAGTGAGGGCCAGCACAGAGGTGAGGGCACCTACTGACAAGACTCAAGGACAGGCTGGGAGCAGTGGAGGCAGTGGGAGCCTTCCAGAAACCCCGAGAGGCAGCTAGAGAGCACTGGTGGCTGCACCGCCCCTGCAGACCCCCCCGAGGGGCTGCGGTGGAAGGGCAGCGCTGGTGGTCCAGTAGAGAAACGAAAGGGTGGGGGGGAGCAAGAGCCGAGTGCAAAGAAGAAGGGCCTTCTCAGTCCTCATGAGACCTGGAAGTGGTGACGCTTGTGACAAGACTGGCTGTGGGTGAAGGAAGCCTGGATGAGACTCAAGGAGACCAACTCCTTACAAAGCCAGAGCTGCTCTTCCCTAGGGGGTGTGGAGCCAACTCTGTCTGCGGGAAGCTGGAGCGTCCCTGCACTGGAAGGGATTTTCATCCAGTCTTCCATCATCAGATACAGACGCTTCTCAACACGTGCCAGACCCACAGTTATCCAGCCTTTATGGGAACACCCCCGGTGACAGGGAGCTCCCTTCCTCCAAAGGTACCCATCAGCACTTGCTCTGCCCCTTGCCATGCAGAAGAAGCACACTGGTGCTTCCTGCTGGAGCCTTCTCTGGCAGCCCACGGCCTTTTCTCCCCAGAGCAGGCTTCCTGGGGGTCGGGAGCTGCCCCCCTGTCAGCAAGACCACACTGGTTTTCTCTGCAAATTCAATGCAGTCAGGGTTGAACGATTTGTCCCAAGTCTGAGCCCGGGATTGCCACACTCATGGCATCAGGGCTTCTGTCATCCTGACACCGGCCCCAAGCTGAGCCCTCTGAGGACAACAGAGCCCAAGCTCTTTCCGGATGAACCAGACCCCCCGATGGCAGGAGAACTCAGACACCGCCATGGTGTGGATGCTGGTTTTGGGCATCGCCACGATCCCAGGGATACCTCAGCCGGCCCTGCAGTTGTTTCACAGCTTGGAAGAGCTGGTGTGGCTGCTAATGGGAAAACCGACCCTGCTCCGCACCAGGAGGCAGTAAATTCTGTGAGTCTGTGTGAGTGGATGGAGGCAGCCGTGGGGGCTATAATTTCCACTTCCTGACACAATACAAACTTCTCAGTTTATGCAGAACTAATTACAGAACTCTCAGGTCTCACCATTTCACCCACCAAGCACCCATAAAACAATGCAGTCATGGCAGCCGCTGGATTAGGGTACGCAGAGTAATGTGCTTCTCAGAAGTGATTCTTCCCTCTCCAAACCCCTCCCCCTCCATGTCCTTCTTTCCTTCCTGCCCCCTGTCCTCTCCTGGCAGCAAGACTCCAGGGGCTTCCCCGCCTGCAGCAGGCGGTACCCTGTAGGGAAGGGCCCAGGCCTGGCCGTGCGTTCCTGCCCTGTCACTTAGGAGCCCAGGGACAGTGGGCATGCCTCATGTTCCTCATGTGTGAATAGAAGAATAGTACCAGCCTGTTAAGATGGTCCTGGGATCAGAAATAATGCAGGTCACTTTGAAGGACTCATCGAGTGGTGACTTTTATTAAGATTGTATTGATGTTATTGTAGTTACTGTAACAGCCACCCCTGGGCCTTGGGGCGCGTTGTTTCCCTGTCTAAAATGCCATCTCCCTTGATATCGCTGACCGAAGGACCACTGTGGTGATTAAAAATGGCCACAAGTGCTTTGCCACCCCTTCCACAAAAACAAGTGGAAGCTGAATCTCCTCCCCTACCCAACATGACTTGGCCATGTGACTTGCTTTGACCAGTGGGGCATCAGAAAATGTGACTCAAAGTGCACCGAGACTTGCCCAGTTTGAATGCTGCCCTGGGCCTGCCATCCTGTAAGAAGCTCTATCTAGTCCACTGGGGGCTTGGAGGCCGAGGGGAGGGGAACAGAGGCACCCAGCCTGCAGCCAGCACCCATCACCAGACATGTGGATGCAGCTGCCTTGGCCCCACTGGCCTTTCCATCCATCGCCCAACGTGACTACGCGAGTGAGCCCAGGGGAGACCTGTGGTGCTCCTAGATGGCCAATCCACAGAACTGTGAGAAACAAACTGTCACTTCAAGTCAGTAAGCTTGGGATGGTTTGTTACACAGCAATAGATAGCTGATACACCTACCCATTCACCAGACCTGAGCTCATAGGCTCTCACCTCCCAGAAGATTTCCCAAACTCCTGCCAGTCTGGAATTAATCTCTCCACCTCCCATAGTCACATAGCACTTTGTGATGGTAGCAGCAAGCACAGCCTGCCTTCACCAGGGCTATTTGCACAGGAATTCCATCTCTCTGGTCTGGGAGCTGCCAGAGAGAAGGGCTGGGACCCTACCCCCATTTTCCCAACCATGCTCAGTCCAGAGCTCTGTCTGGCAGACCTGAGGTGCCTCGCTACAGACACAGCCGCAGCAGTCCAGCTGGACCCCTGATTTGCCCAAGGCCCTGCCCCCCTCAGCCTCCTGCTCCCTCAAGTGGAGACATGACCCCTGCCCATCCACCTTCACAAGCATTATGAGGCTCGTGCTGGGCGAGTGTGTATGCAAAATATTGTGCGCATGACCAAGTCTGGATCTGTGTGCACCCTGGGGAGACCCACTTGGGTTACCGCGGGTGGAAGGTCTTCCCCTCCCCGCTTCTTACCTTCCGGCCGTGGTGGCCCTGGATGCCCGGGTCTCCCTGCGGGAACAAAGAGAGGACACTGAGAGGGGTTTCCCTGACACCAAGCCCCAGCTCCCGCCATCCTCTTCACGTTCCCATCTCGCTTCCTCCCCATGTCTAAGTCCTCCTGACCCCCACCCCCAGCCACCGGCACGGTGACAGGGGCTGCTCTGCTGCCCAGAACAGGCCCCTGCCTCGCGGAGGCAGAGCGATGGTGGGGAGAGTCACCTCGGGGCTGGAGGCCCGAGTTTCCGTTTCGGTTGTACCACTGACTTTCCGCAGAGCACTTCGCCCCAGGACCCTCAGTGTCCACATTTGTAAAACGGGCGGGCTTTGCAACTTATCCTCAGAGCCCGGGGGTCCCTCCGCTTCAAAGGGAGCATCGGTTTGCCATCAAGAGCTTCCAGATGAGACCAGATGACCCCGAAGGTCCCTTCCAGTTCTGACCCCTCATGAAACACCCCTTTATTGGGAGGTTATAACAGCACCCTGAGCATCAGCCTTCAGTTTCAAGGGGACTGTGAGGTCCCTGCCCAGACCCCCCCTTGGAGGTGGGACCTCACCTTCCACCAGCCAGAGTACTTGGACGACTGAGCACACAAAAGTTCAATCCTTGTGAGGCCCAGTCAGTGCCCAAGAGGGTGGCATTTTGGGAACGAGTCGAGCATGACCCATCTCTCAGCTGAGCTCCCTCTTAGCTCCTCCGCAGTGCCCTTCAGCGCCGCCTGCCCGTCCCCGCAGGGAACTCTCCCACCCGCTCAGCGTGTCACCCAGGGGCCCTCACCTTCGGTCCTGGAGGCCCAGGAAAGCCCTGCAGAAGCAAGAGAAAGGTGGGTGGAGGTGAATTCCATGGGTAAACAGTTGAGATGAGTCATGCTCACAGCAGAGGCAGGCTGGGGGCAAAGCAGGGCATGGAGAGCTGTACTGGGTTTGGATGTGAACAGACTAGAGGATCCTGGGAGGGCGTCTGAGACCTGCTGAGGGCACTTGGGGACAACATGTCCCTCTCTGGAGCCATGTGGGCACCGTGGGCATCGCCTCTGTGCTTGCCCACTGGAAAATAGGTCAGTGGCATCATATGAAATCAAGAGTGTGGTTTGGTCCAGATCCCTACCCGCCCACCTACTAATTGGGACCCCTCCCTGGAAAGCCAACCTTGCCCAGAAGAGTTATGATTTTGCCTTTGGCCTTGCCAGCCTGCGGGGGAGCCCTCTGCCTCCTACCCCTGGGCGCTGAGGCCATGGCAGCCAGCAGCGGGAGGGGCGTGGGCCCAGGGCCTGTGGGGCCCGAGGGAGAGGAAGAGGCTGTCCTGGCCGTGGGGCGGGGGGCGTGGGGTGGCAGGCGGTTGGGGGTGGGTCTGGTTGGCAGACACAGGCTGCGGGAAACCGTGCTGCCTCGGTCTGGTCTGTTTCAGTGGGTTTAAAAACACACTTTCTGTATTTTTTCTTTATAAAAAACCTAACAAAGAAAACCATCTGGCTCAGGCTCAGTGAGTGGGAGCCCAGTGTGTCTGGGGAAGGGCAGTCATCAAAGAGGTGGACATCGAGCACTTTTTTGGTTGTCTCAGCTTGGTTTAGTGCAATTCCCTAAATTTCAGTTCCTTTCAGATTTTCCATTTTCCCATCTAGCAACCAATGAAAGTGAGACTAACCTCCCTTGCTGGGGTCCTGGGGAGAAATCATGGAAATATGAACATTTGTTGTGGGGGGTCAAGCTGCGCAGGGCAGCCAAGCCCCCAGCAAGCTAGGTTTTCGCACTGCTGTGCCACCTTCCGGCCCAGCTGAGTGCTGGTCAGCTGAGGCCATCGCCTAGCCTGGAGGGACCCCGTACGGAGCCTTAGCATGGGCGGCTGCGGCAGCTGAGGGGCCCAGATGTGGGGCCCAGTGACCTGGAATGTGACTGTCCTTGCTGAGGGCTATTTGGCAGGGACAGCGTGACCCAGCAATTTCGCCTCTGGGGCTCTGTCCCAGGGGCACGGTCAGAGAGGTGCAGGCTTTTTACATCCAAGGACACAGATCGCAGAAGGGAACTCTTTCACTGCTTTCTCAACAGGCCCAGCAGCCGTAAAGATCCAGCTGTAGGAGACTCCCGATGTGGAAAAGGGCGTGGCTTAGGATGGCAAATGAAAAAGAAACAGAATACAAACTGGTCTATAGATTTCGGAACCTGGAAAGGTTTAAGTGCTGCTATATCTAAGGAGAAAAATGGAAGGACTCTCCAAAATGTGAATGATGGTGAACGATGGATACGGGAAAATTGACAATTTAAAGCTCCGTCTGTATTTCAGATTTTTCATAATGAATGTATGATGTTTCAGTCATGAGAAAGAAAACCAGGTTGTTTGTTTTTTGGCCACGTGGGGAAAATATTATTAAACAATTTTTGTCCTTCACCCCCTCCCTCCTAACGTCACCAAGGGTGATGTTAGTCTCGGCTCCCGGTGGGGAACCCGTGTTCTCCAAAGCAGCCCAGGGGCCTGCTGCACTGCGCTCCTGCCCTGGTGCTTCCTTGCACAAAGCCGGGCTGAGAAACGGCTGGGTCTCGGCCAGGGCTTGGAAGCAGGTGACTTGGTGGCCCCAACTGCCTGCGGTCTTGCCTGGAGGCGGGGTGCCTGCTGGCCTCTCTGGGTCCTCTGCCAATCCTCAGGCTCAATGCAGGCCCTCACCTCCGGCCAACCGGGCATCCGCCTGGTGGCCTAGGAGTATGGAACCTGCACACCCCAGAAAAGGCATGTTTGTCAGGGGTGCCAGCTGGGGGGACAACCCTCTGCTACCTCTGTCAGAGCTCACTGCCCCCCACTCAGGTTCTCCTAAGCCCAGTGGTTCGGGGCGGCCATCAAAGGTGGCCCTGGAAACTCTCTTCCCTCTTGTCGAGGTTGCAGCCAGCCTGTTAGTGATCTTCTCCTGAGAAGGCAATGATTGGAGCTGAGGGCATGCCCCCACGAGGTATATTTTCAGAACCAGGGGGCAGCAGGCAAGTGTGGCTGGGGTAGGCAGCTCCTTGCATGGGCCACCCACGTTCAATGGCTTTGCCAAGGTGCTTTTGCCATTTAGCTGGGACACCGGTTCCTATTGGTTATGCACAGTTTGGATGTTTCCAGAGAATTCTTAGGACAAGTCTCAGAAGAGGTGGCAGCGGAGAGAGGAAGGGAGTACTTACACGTGGCCCCATAGGCCCCGGCAGTCCTGGATGCCCCAGAGGTCCACTCGGTCCAGGGGGACCCGGTGGCCCTGGTGGGCCTTGGGTACCGGCCTGGCCCTGTTCACCCTGAGGATCATGGAAACAAGCGTTAAAGAGACCCCCAGGGCTGTAGAGCGGTTCCCGCCCTAGTGCCATGCACCCGGTGAGGGCCCTGCGTGGGCTCTGGTGGGAAGGCGGTGGTGGTGTGATGGTGATGATGCTGCAGTGGTGACTACATGCAGGGACTGGTGGCAGCAAGGTGATGGCCAAGACACTAGGCCCCCAAAAGGAGGTTCTTCCAGGGAGGACTCGCTGCTGGAGCAGCTGGTCCCGGGGTGAGAGCCCTGCTGTGGGTGGCAGAGGCAGAGGCGTGAGTGAGGCGACCCCCAGCTCAGAAGGTCTGTTCCCAGCCAGGGCCAGCCCACGTGGTCTGAGACCAGGGCCTGCCATTGCTCCCTGCCTGTGGCGAGTCACACCCTCCCTCCACGCCCTGGCCTCTCTGTCAGACACTAAATGAGAACAGTAGTTCTCCTTTCCTAACGCACCTCTTTACGGTTTTTGGTGATCTGGTCCAAAAGATCAAATTGGATCCTTAGGTCAGAGGTTATAGAATTTTGTTTGGCTCGCTAAACAATTCAGCAAGAGATTTTAAGTAAAAAATTTGCACTGCTGGCTCCTGATGAAAAACTGGGGGCCCTGGCAGCTAGGCCCACATTTCTGGGGGCAATTATGGACTGGGCTGGGGAGTGGTGCCCCCTTCAGGTGGGGCATGAGTTCTCCAGATGCATCAGGGTGGACGGAGGGCTTGGGAGGCACGGTTAGCAACCTGTTCCCTCAGGATGGGGAGAGAGCCTGGTTCTTGTGACCCAGATCTTGGGCTGGGGGCCAGTCAGAGTTGTCCTAGATCTACCCCCAATGCCATTATGTTAGTTTCAAAGTGAACTTCCCAGGGATGATCTGGGCTCAGATCCTGTGACAAGGGGCCCATCCCTACAGACAGACTGACACAGAACAGCCTGGCTGCTGTGAGAGCTCCAGGCTGGGATTTGGGGGGATGCAGGCAGCCTGAGGTCCAGGCCAGCCTGCCCTGCTCAGGGTTATCTCGGCAGGCCTCTGGGACTCCTGCTTCCCTGTGTAAAAGAGGGAGCTAAGGCTGCTTCCTGCAAATTGCAGAGGGAAACGATGGTTATAAACAGGAGTGCACAGCTTCAGAACGAGGACGGTAAGCGCTTAGCAGCACCTGCGTGAACCATCTCTTGCCTGGGACCTCGGAGGACAGATGGCGCGCAGCAGTGCCCCTCTGGGCCCCGGGTTTCGTCCTGCCGCCTCCTCTGAGGGGCTGCTGAGGGCCAGGAGCGTTCATGGTGCAGGGGGCAGGTGTAGAAGTGGGTCCCAAGTCCCATTTTACAGAAGAGAAAACAGGCTCAGGGAAGGTGAGTTCCCTGACCAAGGTCACATGGAGAATTCGGCGGTGGGGAGCCAGGACCCCAACTCGGACCCCCAGAGTATTCCTACTCGTTCCACCCGAGCCCCCGGCAAAAACTGCTCATGGTGCAACTCCCTGTACTTTGGAAGTGACGTCCAACACCACCTGCTAAGCACATCATGTCACTTACAAAGTTTCCCGTTTCAACTAATATGAGACCCAGTGTTTAAGTATCTTACAGAGACTGTAAAATCAATACTGGTTTATTGATAGGAAATGGGTAAACCGTTTATGTCCCATGATGGCCAACAGCACAGAAACCTCGTTCTCCAGGCAGAAGCTGCGGCTGGCAGAACAGGGGCCCCTGCACTTCCATCTCCGCCTTGCAAACCAGGTCAGGGCAGCACAGAAAGTTCCGGCTCACCCACCCCTCAATTTCTTCATCTGTAAGGTGGGGATGATGATGGCGGCAGTGGCACTGCCACTGCCGGTGGCCGGTGAGGGGTTACGTGGGATAACCCAGGTGGAATTCTCACAACAGTGCCTGGGGCCAGGGGCGCTCACCAAACAGCGGCGGATGCAGCTGAGAGCAAGGACTCCGCCCTCTGGGCATGGGGTCTGGCTTGGGGAGGAGTGGGTGACTGTGGGCACACTTGGTGCCTCTCTGAGCGGCTGGCAGGCCCGACGGACAGCCCTGCTCGGGGCAAGCGCTTAGAGCGCATGGAGGCTCTCGAGGATTTGTCTGGTGTAATGGGATAGGCAGGCTCGGGTGACACGCGTATCACGTGTCCCTCTGTATTTTTAGCTGTTAATTGGAGTGATTTTTTTTCAGCCTTGTACACCCAGGTGCCTGACATGCAGGCCCCGGGACTCTTGAGTCAGGCCAGATGGTGGCTCCAGGCCACACTTTCAGGCTTTCAGAGAGCATCCCGTGGCCTTGGGGGCACTCCCTGCGCAGTGTAAGGGAGCCTAGGGGCGTGCGTGGCAGCCGCGGGCTGCCTGGCCTGGAGTCAGTGCCTCAGCCTGATCTCTGGGTCTGAGGTCTCTTGTTCTTTGTGATCTGGTCCTATCCCGGCCTCCGAGGGCTGGAACGGCAGGAAGAAGGAAGCAGGTGCGCACAGTGATTACTCCTGTCGCCTGTGGGCTACATTCCCTCTGCAAACTTCCTCACCCCACAGACTCAGGTTACAAGTGATTGGATGCTAAGCAACCTGCATGTCTCCATGTAGAGGGTATAGGGCCAGCTGGGAGAGCCCTGGGTGGGGGCGTCTGGCAGCCTGGTTGCAGGTGCCCATTCTGCCTCTTGCAGTCTGTGCAAGCTCGGGCACAACTCACCTCTCTCTGAGCCTCAGTTTAACGATGGCACTCTAACTGTCCAGGGGCTGTTCTAAGTGCTTTGCGTGCACAATGGCCCCAGGCAGTAGGAACTGTTATATCCTTATGTCACAAAAGGGAAAGCTGAGGTACACAGAGGTTAAGTAACTTGCCCCAAATCACACAGCTAGTAAGAGGCAGAGAACCTGGGTGCCCTGCAATTTACTGTGTAACCCTGGGCAGCTTAACATCTCTGAGCCTTGATTTCCCCATCTGTGAAGTAAGGATGACATGCCTAATTCATGAAACTGTTGAGAGAATTGAATGGGATCAGGCCTGGGAAATGTGTAACATGGTGGGTCACACTGCAAAACGGGTAAGCCAGCGATGGCTGTTGTCGGTGGCTCTCATGAGTAGTAATGGGTGCTGGAAGCTGGGGATCTCCTAGGCTCGGGTATTGTGTATTTCCAGGTCTATGGGTACTGTTTCTGTCTAACTTAATCTAATCAAAGTAGGGTGAGGGTACGTCTTTGTCGACAGCCCCAGCGGGCCTGTCAGGGTGCAAAGACTTGCTGAACCCCTGGGGACGCCACACAAGGTCTGGGCAAAGGGTAGGGTCTACCTGGAAGGTCCGCCTTTTTATGACTGGGGGTGGAGCCAGTCGCACTGAATTGAGGAGAGGCAGCAGCTGAGGAGAAAGATGAGTTGGAAGGCCAGAGGGCAAAGGCCAAAGGTCGCAGGTGTTCAGGAGGATGCCCGAAGTCGCCAGGAAGGCAGGGTGGCCAAGAGGGAATAGAAGAGAGATAGAGAGAAGAAAGATTAGCGAGCATGAGGCATGGGGCGGGGGAGGCCTGGATGGGGCATTCTCAAGGCTTGTGGGGCTCAGCGCTGAGCTTGCCCTTGGATGGTGCACCGTCCCTGGAAGGAGGAGTGGCCCTTGGGGTGCTGGCCAGCAGCAGCCCCCAACTGGGAGAGTGGTTATCTTTGGCTGGGCCTGCCCTCTGTGACCACCCTGGGTTGAAAAGGCCGCCTGACATGTGGCCCAACATTGCACTGTGGGCCCCACCCACTCCTGGTCATGGACAGAGGCTGCCGGGCTGGGGCAGAAGATTCAGAGGTACTGGCTAGGTAGGGAGCCACAGGACCAGCTAAATTGGTACTGGAAGCCGGGCTAGTGTGTGGCGACCTCTGGGTTCTTTTTTTGGTTGAGCGAGAAAGGCCGATGTCAGCGAATCTGGGAGGTGGTCAGGGACTGCGCCAAGCCGGGCTCCCGAGGCTGAGCCGACTGAGGGTGTGGCCAGTGTGGGCATGAGATAAGTGCTGCTGAGGTCTCACCCTGGGGCTGCAGGGCTCAGAAAATAGAGGCTGGGCGAGGATGTCTCTGGCGTGTTCAACCACTTGTTTGGGAGAGGCAACTTGCAATCACATTATTGAATGTGATTTTCATTTCTGGAAATTCTTGCCGTTTTCAAGCATAGCTCTAGGAAGTGGTTAGAACTCATGTCAAAACAAAGATGGCATATGATCAACCTCTTGTTTTTGAAAGCATTTTAACTCACAGGAGGCCCCTGGGATGAGTGTTAAGGACCAGGGGCCACCTGGGCTGAGAATGGGCCCAGCTGGGGACATGGGGGCCCAATCATATCTTTTCTAGGCCACTGCTGCCTTCGCGTGCAGTTGTTGCTCGGAAAGCCCCGCCCTCCCGCTAGGGGCCCAAGGATGTGCAATGTTGGGCTCTGTGTCCAGGGAGCCTCTCCGCAGAGCAGCTCGAGGCCTTCCAGAACAGGGCCTACAAACCTTCAGGGTAATGATCTGGTTGGAGTGCAGGGCTGCTAGCGTGCTGCTGTTTAGGCACTCCTGGTTCGGGAGGGGGAATGGAGGTGGGGAGACAGGGCAACGGGGGAAAGTGAGTACCAGAGCCACAGGCACCAGCTCCCCTGCCAGCCGCCCCCCCAGGGGACTCCATCCCACCCCTTCCTCCCTCCCTGGAGTTGCTACAGGCTGCAACAGACCCAGGGACCAGCCTGGCTCTCTTGGCATCTTGTAAACCTTAGGGGCCTGCCACCCCACCTTGCCTGCAACCCCCCACAGAAAGCCAATAGATCACTTGCACTAGAAGTCCCCTGCTTCCCTACTCACTTCCAAATAAACAGCAAGTGCCAGCTGCCTTGTCCTGCCCACCGGCTGGGTCCCCAAACCCGCTTTCACCCCTGCCTGACCCACACTGCCATGGTCACAATGCTGTGTTTTGCTGCACCCTGTGGCAAAGGTGCTTCTGAAGCCTTCTGTCCCCTCCCTCTCCCTCTTCTTATGTTGGGCTTGGGGGCAGAGAGCCCTCTCCTCCCCTCGTCCCCCTCCGTTCGCTCAGGACTGATGACACTGCCAGAGCGTCTGCGGTTGTGTTGTTTTTTGTGCTGGGGGAAGCTGTCTTTCTTTCGGGCAACATAACAATCCTGTGAGCCCATCATTTCAAATAAACACAGCTGACCTTCTATTATTGCATCAGGATCAGGCTGGCCGGAACACCAGGGCCCCTACGTCCCTGGAGCACATGCCACTGGCAGGCTGGCTCTGTCTGTGCTGCTGCCGGCCTGTGCCCCCTGCCCGGGCCCAGCCCAGCCTTGGCCTCAATGCCAATCCAGCTACTCATGTTCAAGGCTCCCTGAGGCCTCTCCCTGACCCAGGAGCCCAGGGATCAGAGTCTGATTGGTAGGACCCTGCAGCAAGGCCCCCCTGGCGGCCTTCCAGAGCCTGGTGGACTCTGAGCCTGGTTTCTCTCCATTCCCTCATCCCCCTGCCTGGCAGGGTTGGGCGGCCAGTGGGCCACACCAGGGGTGTATTTCTGGGCACAATGAGGTCCATGAAAGGGGGAGGGGCATCTTTAGATGCCCAGGTCTGAGAGTGGCAAGGCCGATCCACAAAACGAGGGGCATTTTTCAGGTTCTGGCTCGCTGCGCCTCTCACTGGAGGGAGCAGTGTGCACCACAGCCCTCCCCGTCTCAACGGCTCTGCTGTTGGGGCACCGGCTCTGCTGTTGGGGCACCGTTTGCAGGCTCCTCACAGGGTGCCAGCAGGCTGTGGGCTTGCGCCCGGGGGTGGAGCCAGAGAAAGGAAGCAGCTGGGAGGGCGGCTGGAAGGAGTGGGAGACCATCTTAGCCCTGTCTGAAAACTGTCCTCTATCCTTCAAGAAACAAAGCAGAGACTTCACCCTTCAATTGATACTATCTGCCCCCCGTTAACCCCTACCATCGAGGTTGGGTCATCTGAAATAATGACTAACCCAAAAGTCCCTCTGAATCAGCCAGGGAAGGCAGCCAAACATGCACACACAGCCACACACACACACTAGGTAGGTATTCTGACACATACACTCGCACAAGCCACCCGGCCTTGCAGAGAAGGCGATGTGCAGAGGAGAAGCGGCCGGCTCTCGAAGTCGCACAGACACACGTGCTGGGAGACTCGCAGCCCAGACGGCACAGGGCAGAGACACGGACAGGAACGGCGGGTGAACACGAGTGCCGGACGCTGGCTCTGCACAAACACACAGACTGACCACAAGGCACGCTCTGGGGCCCGGCACACACGCCGCCACCCCACAGCCCCTGCTCTGGCTGCTGAGTGCAGCGGGGGCTGTGTGCTCCTGCTCCCAAGCTCTGTAGGTGCTGGGAGCTCCAGGGAGATGAGGCTGAGATGGGGGCTGTGCCCCAGGATGGCTCAGTTTTAGAGGTTCACTTACCCGGTGTGGGTACTCTCCACACTGACCCTGGACAAGAAAGGGAAAGAAAGGGGGTGTTAGGTGCTTGTTGGTGGCTGTCCATCAGGGGAACCCTCAGGACCTGGGGACACACTGTGCACATTCGTCACCCCACCAGCCCCCCTCTGGTCCTGGACTGAGCTATCTGAGGCAGGAGAACTAATTTCCTCCCCCATCCCTGGCTGGCAGCATGGAAGAAGCTCCCAAGGCCTGCCTTGAGGTGGCGTCGCGGAGCCTGGGAAGGGCTCTGTGCTGTGCCCCGCTTGCCATGACCACGCAGCCAGGAGTTACGCTCCATGCCTGGTGTGGAAAGACTGAGGCTCCACCCAGCATTCCTGAACAGGAGCCCCTGGGTGGCAACGGTAGACAGAGGGGCAGGCGTGGGCACGAGGTCCCCAGAGACGCCCTCTCTGAGCTGGCGGTGCCAGGTCCCTGTACCATTCACCTGGGGCAAGCCCAGCGCAGAATCTCCATTAGAAACTCAGAGAGGCAGAGAATGGAGGCCAGGAAGGGGGCCAGGCTAGTGGTTTACACAGTGACCCCTCAAAATCCTAGAGGCTCATAGAGGGGGTTCAGGAAAGACTGGGGGGGTGGCAGGTGGGAGGGGCTGAGAAAGAGGCTTGGGAGGGCCCGACTTCAGGGCCCTCACCCCGCCCCTGACCCGTCTGCCCCCAGAACAGAACGTGAGCCAGAGCAGCCTCCCCTTTCGCTCTCCCACACCCGGGCACCACGAGGGCTCCGTGGCTCAGCTGATAAGAACTAAAGTTTGGAAAATAACAGTTCTGGACCCCTTTCCTGTTTTGTTTTTTTTTTAAATGTGCTCTACCTGAGATGAAAATTCTAGAAAACTGCTATCAGGCCTACCTTTTCTCCTTTTTCTCCTTGAGGTCCCTATGAAGAGATGGAAATGAGAGTGTTAGAAACTAAAGCTAAAAACACAGCGGCCCAAAACCTCTCTGCTGTGGAGCATTAGGGGAAGTACCCACCGGCTGTCCTCGGGGACCCATCAGGCCCTGTGGGGAGGAAACGCACACTGGTCAGTGGGGGCACAGAAGGCGGCAGACCAGAGGCGTCGGCCTGGGTGGGGGCTGCGCTGGAAGCCAGGCCCCCGGGCGTTTTCAGAATGCCCGGAGCTGCGAAGGCGGGCCTCCGCCACCCACGCCCGGTCTTCCTGTGCCTGAGACGTTCCGGGGGTGTGGTCTGTACACCCCGTCTCGGCTTCTTCACGTCAGGGGGCATCACTAGCTGTGCCCTGTCCCCACGTGCATGGCTGCGATGAGGAACAGATGCCATCCTTTGTTCACTCCCCCACCCGCCATCCTCTCACGGGCCCCAGCTAGGAAGGGGCTGCGTGTATGCGTCAGGCGGGGCCCCGCCTCTGTGGACGGCCTGCCTCACTCACACCGGTCTATCTCCTCCTGGCTTTGGAGACACCTTTGGCGAAAGAGAGGAAGCAGGAAGTTAATGACTTAAGCCACGTCTTGGGCTCCTTGGAGGAACATAAGAGATCTTGGGATTTCCTTCCAGGATGTCTTGTCAAGTTTACAAGGCTGAGAAAGGAGCCTGAGTTCAGGGTGGACTCGTGTTCTCGGAGGAGCACACGGCGTCCAGCTGGCTCTCGGGAGCCTGAGTGGAGGCCCCGTCAGGGAGGCCTCCTGGCCGGTGCAGAGTAAAGTGGGGGAGGACAAGAACTTCCTGTTTGGAGGACCCACTCTGAGGCTGGCATTCAGTAGTGCTGAGCTCGCACCTGCCCTGGCCGGTGAGAAAGGTGCTCATGTCAGCTTTATCTTGCAGATGGAGAGTGAGGGAGAAAGGTGAGGGAGAAAGACTCAGCAAGCGGTGGCATTGGGACATGAGCCCAAGTTTGTCTGACCATAAGGTCCAGCTGTTTCCACTCTGCCACGTTCTCTGCATTGGGAGACAGGGTTTGGGCTTCTAGACTTGGCTAGAGCCACAGGCAGTGCTCTAACCACTGGGGCCTGAGGTCCCCTCCAGCCACTGTACTGAAGGCCTGTGAGGATCTACCCACTGGACCCATCTTTTGGGGGCTTGGAGAACTCAGGATCCCCAGGATAATCCTTCTGAGTGGGAGACGAGCCTTCTCTTGACCATGACTGGCCAACTGGACAAACCATCCAACTGGGAAAGTCCCAGGAGGTTCATAAGAGGAGACAAGGGACCTTTGGGACAATCCATGTGGTACCACCGTCCACGTGGAGGGCCTGGGGCCAAGAAATCAACAAAGGCCCGGGATTACGCAGACTTGTAGGAGTGAGTCCGAGCATCCCGAATGGTGGCGGGTGGGACGGTCGTGGTCCCCAGAGGTATTTGGCACAGCATACACAGTTTTATTTCATTTAATTGCCAACATTTAAGAGCAAGGAGAGCACAACAAAAACCTAGATTTCAAGTCCCTTTTCAATATTTCAAGGCCCAATAACACATGGCAACAATTATCGCTAGCTGAAAAGCAGTTGCTCCTTTATTAAGGCAGGTCATGGGTGACGTGCTGGCTAAGGAGCTTGTCTTGCTTCTGGTGTGCCAGGCACGGTTCTAAGCACTTGGTGTGAATTAACTCTTCCCACCTTTAGGGCAGCCCTGTAAGTAGTGGGCTAAATTGTGGGTGAAGAGTTCCCACTCTCCTTTACAGCACTGGGGTCCGGATCTTGTCTGCATCTTACATCAAGTTCTTGGGGCTCCTGCGAGGTGGGTGGGACAGAGACAACCCCCTTCTGACAGGTGAGGACACGGGTTTAGCACATGAGGGTGAGTCCTAGCCCCCCCATGTTGGATGCCCAGCAGAGGGAAAACCATCTGGGGAGAGAAGAGAGCGGGAGACAGACAGATGATAAGCAGGCCAAGATAATTACGCCAGACAGAGTGTTGAATTAATAGCTCGGGGCCCCTGTGCCAAGCCAAACAGGAGTCTAATAGCTCTGTAGCCTGTCGGGTTTTGATGGATGACCGTGAGGCAGATAGGGGATCTATCACACTGAGTGGGCTCCTGAGAGATGGGATGGTCCCACCCTTCCCCTGAATTAGCTCTGACCCCTAACAGATGGGAGACTCACGGGTGGTTAAGTAGGGTGGGGCAGAGGGGCTACAGGAAGAGGAGCCCCATAGAAGAAGGGTCCTTTCTTTCAAGACAAAAGGCCCTGGCAGCAGAAAGGAAGTGTGGTGAGGGGTAAGATCTCAGCACGTGGGTCCCAGTCCCAGCTCTGTCTGTTGCTTAGGAGCTGTGTGTGCAGCCTTGGCCAATACGCTCGCTCAAACACTCTGTGCCTCACTCCTACCTTCTGTGCGGGGGGAATAACAAGTCATTATGAGGATTACAGAACAGCGCTAATTGATAACCATCATCACTACCTGTGAAGTGCCAAGACTAAATGTGGTAGCATCAAGCCACCAGGAAGGGGATGCCCCAAACTCCTGGCATCCAAACCCCTTATGCCTCTATCACGATGATAACATGGAATTTTATTCCTGCCTTGGTCTACATGACTTCAAGCACAGGCACAACAGGCTTAGGAACAGTGTAGGGGCAACAAAAATCACATTTGCAATCTATTCGTTGTGATGCAGAAGAAAGCTGGGGACCTGGATTCTAACACCAGCCCTTCCACCCACTGCCTCCAGTGCCTCACTGCCTTTCTTCCAGTTCTGTGGTTATTTCAAGGACTTTCCTGCCTTGGGACCTTTGCACGAGCTGTTCTCCCATGTCCCTCCCATCCCATTTTCTCTTAGTTAAATCCTCATCCCTCAGACCCTAGTTCAAGTTTCATTTCAGGAATGCATCTCTGACCCTCAGCCTGGGTGAGGTGCTGTTATACCGAGGTTTCTCAGGGCAACAAGCACTGCCTTTTCATAGCACTGATTATGAAGGCGATTTGTTAATTATATGCGTGATTATTTAAATGTATGTCTCCCCCACTACACTGAGAACTACAGGATGGCAAGGATGGTGTCTTCCTTTTCCTGCCCATATCCCAGCACCTGGCACAGTGCCAATATATTATAGCTACCCTACAAAAGTGTGTTAAAGGAAGGAAAGAAAAGAAGGGAAGGAGAGAGGGAATTCAGGAGAGAGAAAGGCAATAAAATGTGGAGGGGAGGAATTCGAGAATAGTTTGGATCCTGTTTTGGATGTCCCCTACCTGACTTCAGTCACCCCTAGGTGACTTTAGGCAAATCAGTCTCTCTGAGCTTCAGTCTCCACAACTGTCAAAGGGGACACCAATGGGACCTGGCGCATGGGGCTGTGCTGAGGACACGGCGAGCTCAGCTATGCACAGTGCTTAGCTCCATGCCCACCAGACAGAAACCTTCATAAGTGCTGGCTGAGTCTGTGTCAAGTGGCCAGGCTAAGGTCCAGAGGGAGCTGAGTCACCAAGGGTCCCTGGCAAGCGGTCATCTGCCTCCCTCAGCGGGCAGGGCTCTGGTCCTCCATGCCCTAGCAGTGTCTCAGTTGTCTCAGTGTCTCACCTAGCACTTTGAGCCTGCCTGGACAGGGAGACAGGAGCCTGCCATGTTCCTGTCACACCCGGCACTAGCCAGGCCTGCCGGCGGAGGGTGGCTGCTCACATTGTGGATGTGACGGGCCTGGGAGGCAGGACAGCGTCCCAGCCAGGGCTGGCCTGTCTGCTCTTAACAGCCCGCAGACCCTCTGAGAAGGGCCCCTCCCCTAAAGAGGCTAGCCCCTGACGAAGGCAGACTTTCCCTTCTGGAATAAGTGGCCTGGGGCAGACTGCAGAGAGGAAATTCCTTTAAAAGGCTCTGCAGAGGCAGAAGGGGCTGGAGGAAGATGGAGGCTGGTTTGCTTCCCCAAGGCTGCTCCGTGCCTGGTGGGACAGCATCACCTGGAGTCCTGGGACAGCCCAGGGGAGGGTGAGCATGAGGAAACCGGGCCAAGGACGGAGTGCTGGACAGGCTCCCTATGCCCCCAGCGTGAGTGCTAGATGTGAGTGTATCCCTGAGGGAGTGCTAGCCTCTGACTCTGTGTGACACTGGCCAAGCATGGATTCTCTCTGGACCCCCCTTGCCTTGTTTTTCACGTGGAGAAGCCCCCCTGCTCAGCTCCCCTCCCTTGTCAGTGTGAGGACTAGGGGCATGCATTGTGCACAGCTGGGGAGTGTTTGTGGGGCAGCTACTTCCGCTGCCCCTGCTGAGCCCGTTTGCCACAGTGCTTGGCTGTGGCCCAAGTGGTCCAAGTTTATCCCCCACCCGCTGAGGGAAGACAGGAAAGCTGGGGTGGGGTCTTACCATCTCCCCTTTTGGTCCGGGGTAGCCCTGGAAGGAAAAGAGCGTGAGTGCCAGGTACACTGTGTGCAAGCTGGGGGTCCCCTGCCCTGCCACGTGTGGCCCCTCCCTCCTCCACCAGGTCCTGTGAGAGGAGTGGATGTGATCACCACAGCCGACTGGCTGTGCTTACTCTGGCCTGCAGAGAGGGGTGACCAGGTGGTGGCTGGACCCCTCATCTGAGAGGACATCGCCTGCTCACGGGAGAAGAGAAGGGATGGGACTGGACTCAGCACTCACTGCCTTCCAGTGAGGGGGGCAGCTCTGAGCGCACTGGAAGGTTGAGCTCTCCCTCAGCTCACTCTTTCCTAAGAGCGGGGAAGGGTCTCCTCTCCCCCATGAACATTTGCGTCTCGGGCCAAGTCAGAAGAATTGAAATGAACAAAGAGAGAAGTCCGGGGTGGGGAAGCAGCCTCCATACAGACTGGGACATGTGCGTGGGGTCTCAGCCAGGATGGGAGACCCCGGGAGAATGGGAGGCGCAGGAGCGACAGCGGGGGAGAGTGCCCAGGCTCCTTTTAGAATTGGCTGTCGAGCCCTCCCTTCCCACCGCCTTCCACGAGCACCCAGCATCACCCACTTCTAGGATGGCTCTTGTTCCAGACGTCGAAGGCCCATCTTGGAGGCTGTGGGCGTGTGCCCTGTGGAGGCGTGTGCCCTGTGCAGGCCCACTGGGGCCAGGACAACCCGGCCTAATGGCCCTTCCTCCCTTCCCACTGGCAACGACTTTCTGCCCCCAAAACGGTCATTGTACCTAAAGCTTCTTCCAAGGACATGAGGTCTTGCAAAAGGACTGAGAGACCCCAGGTTAGTGACCTGGACCAAGTGAGAGGGTGGAGTCCCAGCCCAAGAGGGTGTACTCACCGGTTTCCCGTCGAGCCCAATGGGACCCTGAAAGCAGAAAGAAGAGAGATATGAAGGCCGAGCCTCCCAGATCTCCGGCCGAGGAGGGCAGCCTGGGGCCGTGGGTGGGTGTCCAGCAGCTGGGGTTCAAGTATCTGCTGGCTGTGTGACCATGATAAGCCAGTTTCCCACCCTAAAATGGGGATGAGAATCATAGACCTTCCTTAAAGGGTCTTTGTGAGGATGGAGGGAGATGTCATCTGCGAGACGCCCCACATGAGGGGCACCTGATGGGGGCTGTTGCCATTGCCATCACAGGCCTCTGTCCCACCCTGGGTGGAGAGTGAACAGTGTGTTCCTAGAAATCAGGGCTGGCCAGTGCCGAGGTCTGTGGGAAAAGCCCAGCTGCTCCTGTGCCCTCCCTCTTAGGACCTGTCTTGGGCGCCCACACAGGGGTCCCAGGACATCCAGACAGCCACCTCCTGGCCACCTCCCTGCCTCCTCCAGGCAGAGCTCCTCTGAAGGCCAGGCCGGAGGCCACTTCCCTGCGGTGAGTCATCTGTTCTGCATTCCAGGGTCCTACCAAATTTCACCAGCCTGTGACGTCACTCACCTGTCCATGTCCTGCTGTCCCTTTGTTTCCACACTGATTTCCCCGTGCACTGAACTCCTCTCCTCCCCACGAAAGGTTGTGGGAGAGGGTCCTTACTGACCGAGCTTTGGAAAGGCAAGGGCAGCCTCAGGACTGGCCCCGCATGAAGTTTAACCCCACCAGGCCCAGGGGTCAAGACAGCCACAGCGAACCTCAGCTCCCCCACTTACCGGAAATCCAGGGAAGCCTCGAGTGCCCGGCTGACCCTGAAAACAACAGAGAGGAGTGAGGAGAGTGCAGAGGAGCTGACACTAATCCTTAGTGCCCTGGTTCACCTTTGTTCCCAGAGAGGCCTGGTCTCCCCCCCCCCCATGCCCCCTCCCCCATCAGCCAACACCGACTCCTCTGTGATCATCCAGGGAAGACACTCCCCAGTGTGAGCTGGTTGTGAGGGAGCATGAAGACGGAAGTGGAGCACCGGACATCTCCTCCCCGTACTGGGGGTGGGGTGGGGCAGGGGAAAGGAGATGGCCAGAATCCTTTGGGTCTTGCTGGGAAGTAGCCCCTCAGAGCTCCTTGCTTCTGTGGACACTCCGAACCTCGGCGTGTAAACAGGTGATGGAGAACGAGGACATCGGGGACCCAGCCCGCAGCGCACTGAACTCCTGAACTGCGGTTTTTATTTACACAGCCATTACTCACGGCCACTTATATAGCAATAGTTTGGGTATCAGTGGCTATCAAAATTCGACCTTCGAGATGTGCATTTTCGGGTTAGAATGAGGTTGCTCACTTTCCTCTCATCAGGCCTCTCCAAGTTGGGGAATTTTTGGATCCCCCCATCTTTTTGGGAGACAGATCAATTCATGCCCACTTTCCTGGGTACACAAAGGGCCACATATAAGGTATTCAGGTTGTGGATTACAAGCAGGTTCACTGATTTATGGTCAATATTTAGGGCAGAAGAGACGCGCTCAGGCTGGAAGCAGCAGGAAGCTGTGCAGATCCGGGACTGGGGAGGGCTGAGCAGGAGGTCAAAGGTGATGGAGAGCTGAGAAGCGCGAGTCTTGTTACTCTCCTTCTCGAGAACCAGTATTGGCTCTCTCCTGCTCACAAGCATGCACAGTCATCCTTGTCCCAGTCTGCCGTTTCAGGTCCGTTCCTGCCTCATCGTCCCACGTACTCTTTGCTCAGGCACACTGGCTCAGCTGCCTTTCCCCAGACACACTACATCTTTCACATGTTTAGCTCTCAGCTTGGAGTCCCCCTGGCTGGAGATGGCCTGGTCTCTTCCCAACTTGGGCTTTTCAATCTGGCTGCCTCTACTAACAATGGCTCTGTGACTCAGAAAGTTGTCTAACCGTCTAAACTCCCTCTGCCTCAACTACCTCATCTAGAAGATGGGGATAACTGTATAACCTCATAGGTCATTGGATTACACTCCATTATGCTTGTAAAACCCTTTGAAATGGTAGCTGCCATCGTCAGATGTTTGTTGGGTTGAACAGAACCTAGGAGCATCAGGATAAAGCAAGATTGCTTTTGAGCCCAACATCTCTTAGGACCCAAGGAGGCTTGTCCTTGCTGAGCAAGTTTTGGAATCAGACCCTAACCAGAGGAAGATTTCTCTGGATCCATCTGCTGTGAACCTCAAATGTCTCCAGGCTGCTTTGGTCCTTCTTAAAGCTGCGGACACAAGTGCTCAGGGGACATGACTGGCTGAGATGTGGACCCTGCTGTCAGAGTGGGTGCACTGGCCAGGCGGGGAGTATGCTGCAGGCTCAGGATGGGCGTGTGGCAGGCATCCAAGAGGGCCAGAGAGAAGAGATGCCACTCATATATCAGAAGGGCCCCCGGCTTCTCCCCTATCAAGGATAAGTGATGCTAAGAATAGCACCAAGGAGAAAACCCGGAAACGGTACAATGTAACCTCTGCAACCTGCCACTGTAAACTTTTGACTTCTCTGAATGCTGAGATGCCTGAAGGAAAGGTCAGGAGGAGAGGATTCCAAGAAGCGTCTTCAAGTCCCACTCGGGCTAATGTTTACATGGTAGAGATAATCGCATGGTTTGCTAAATACAGAGCCTGTCCTGGTAGCAGGAGGCATCTCTCCAACCCAAAGCCAAATGCAGGGCTAACCAAGGTTTTTCAGGGATCTTGGGAAGAATGTTGTCATTGACCACATGGAAACTCGGACTCTACTTCCTGGGGAGTTTGGGCCTGGGTAAGGCTCTCGGAGAGGCTTGGAAGTGGGTTTTAATATACAACAAATTCTATGCTGAGGTCGGACATCCTTTCCAATGTTTATTGCCGGTCCTATTTATTTGTGAACAGCCTGTTTGTATTCTTTAGCAATATTTTCTACTCAGTTGTTTGTCTTTTTCCTATTGACTTGAGTAAAGCTCTTTGTCGAGCACAGTAAGTCTTGGGTACTCATGTGTGTTGCAAACATTCTGTCCAGCTGGCTGTCTTGTTTGTGACATATTTTGTGCCATGTGGAAGTTTTACATTTATGTTGACAAACTTATCAATCTTCCTCCATGGCTTCTGGGTTTAATGCTGTGTTTTAAGGTCCTTCCCAAGTTAAAAAATATAAAATGTTTGCTCATGCTTTGTTCTTATATTTTAGAGTTTTATGTTTTACATCTAAGTATTTTATTTACTTGATATTTATTCTGATATAACAACTGAGGTAGATATTCATCAATCTACTTTTCTCTTTTTATTGTGAAATCGAGTCTTTATCACAGACCAGCTTCCAAGACGCATTTGGCTTTATTTCTGGCCTCCCCATTCTGTTTCATGCGCTGTTATAATTGCTCTGTTTTTATGACACATAATGATAAATAGTAGACCAACTAGTCCCCTCCTCACTATTCCCCTTACACTACTTTTAAGAATTTTCCCGACATCCTCACAAACATTTTTTCCAAGTTCACTTGAATTAAGATCATATCAAAATTATGGATTATAGATTTGTAGATTAATATTATATCCTTCTAAAGCAGAATGAAGGAAATAAGCTTTACATTGCTCTCTGAAATCTCTTCCCTTCACTCAAAGCTAGGCTGGAGGGGGAGCCTCATGGATCCCTGCTGTTAGTAAGTGAACCCTGTATCTGTCTCCTCTTCCCTACCTTCTTCCTGCCTACAACTGGGGCAGGATAATGCAACACGGACGCACAGAGTGTTCTGGTTGGAGCGAGCCTCCTGGAAATCCCCCCTTCTCTTCTGTCTGACTCCAGAGAGAGGCTCAGTCACGTGTCTGTCCAGAGCCTGCCTCATTTTACCTCCCCCTCTCCAAGTCAGTGCTATCTGCCACATAAGACTCCATGCTGCTAAGTGTTCAATCACTGGCTGGGGTAGCGGTGAGTGGGAAGGAGAGTCCTGCTTTGTATAGCATTTGCCAATTTCTGTGGTGGAAATACTTCCACCATGGCTGATTTCAAGCTACAACTGTGATATCATTAAACACAAAGTTGGGAGGGGTCTGAGCGACTGGCTCCTGAGAGCCAGGGCGACCAACTCAGTACACACCCTCTGAACTCTGGCAGCAAACGGAGGGCTACGCCCTTTGGACGTTACAAGGACATCTTAAACATTCATCGTGTTCAGATTGAACTCACCTCCCCTAGAAAAATCTGCTCTTCCCTCTGGGGAAGGCACCCCCATCCACTCTGTTACCATATCAGAAATATGGGATTGTCTTGGACTCCTCCTTCAACCCCCACTTTTATTGCCACTACCCTCTGTCAATTCCACCTTCAGATTGGCTCGCCAGCCCCACAGTCCCTGAGGCTGTGCTTCAGGCCACATCTTGATTTTGCAGGTGCCTTCCAGCCAGGCGCAGACCTGCAGCCTCTTCTATACATTCTCCATGCTGGAGCAGGGCAATCAGGAGACCCTTTTAAACTGCCAATCTGATCTTTTCCCTGCTCCACTGAACACAACCCAAGGGCTCTCCACTGCCCTCAGGAGAAAGTCCGGACTCCTGAACATTGTGTCCAGGTCCTTCATGATCAGATCCTTGCTACCTCGCCAGTCTCACCTCTGCTTGGCTCTGTAAAGAACTTCCCCATTTCTCTAGTAGTTTATAGGAAGACTTCCTGCCTCGGAGAATCAGTGATCCCCGCCCCCCGGCCCCCAGTCTGGTACCTGAGTAACCTCTGCTCATCCTGCTCATCCTTGATCACAATTTAGTTATGCCTTCCTCCCAGAAGCCTTCCGTGCCTGCCTCCGCCCCAGGTCCGGTGCCTCCTCCTGTCCCCACAGCTCCCTCACCACCCCAGGCTGAGCACTGACTGCTGCCATTGTAACCATTGCAGCATTGCTGGTCTCTTTGCCAAGAGCAAGCAGGCTGCAGCCAGGTTTTCCTCGTCTCCCAGTACCTAGCATGCAGGAAGTGCCTAACAAATATTAATGAAATAAGTAAACCGAGAAACACTTAACATGTGTATTGACCTGATGGAAGTGTTTCCTTGTGAACAAGGGCTGCAAGCTCAGGGAGCTCCTCCTGGCCCCTGAAGAGAAGCTGGGGGCTCCAGGGAGGGATTGAGCTCCCTTGGAGATGGGGGGCATTTCCTAGCCTGGTAGGTGGCTTTTCCAGTGCCTGTTGGGTCAGCCAGCCTCCCCCTCAGTTTAATGGGACAACTGCTCCAGCATTTTGCTTCATGACAATGTGAACCATCCTTCTCAGAAGTGCCTGGATGGTTCATCTTTTGGTCAGACCACTTGTGAAACTCTAAGAGAGGAGCAGGTGGCCCCTAAGAGCAGCAAGGCTGGTTCTTGTCGGCAACATGTATGTGGGGCCCTTCTGGGCTGAGTGGAAAGCCACAAGGTCCCATCATCCCCTGCCAGAGGGCTTGCCCACTTGACCTCTACCTTTTCATGACAAATGACCCCTTTGTCTTCCCCTGCCCTGTTCTCACCAACTCCAGGTGGCTTCTGGGAAGGAGCTGATGGGGTTGCCCTGGTGTCTAGTGAGTACTCAGCAGGGATGGCCCCTGCCATCTGGGTGATGGTCACCCACACAGGCCAAAATTGGAGGGTGCCAGGCTTGGTCAAGCTTCCTTGTGCCTTGCCTAGCAACACATAGCACCAATAAGGAGAACCTTTTTTTCTCCTTAAGGTAAAAATCTGTTAAACAGGAGAGCTTAAAACATGGAAGGCAGTGTTGGGAAAGAATGCTTGTTGTGGAATGCAACTGATGTGGCACAACCCAAGCTCCAGCACTGACCAGCGAGGCGACCACAGGAAAGTTACAAAACTGTTTCCATCTCTGTGAAATGGACTGGCAGGCCTGCCTCCCAGCTTTGTTGGGAGGGATGGAGGAGACTGGTATGTGGGAAAACTCCATGAGGGGGCTAGGTGCCCAGGAGACAGAAGTCATCGCTGTTACCCGAACAAAGGTACTTTCACCATTGCAATCAAATCCAAAATGGGAGTTGTGTTCTTGATTAGGCTTATGACAGGGGGCCGGAAGCCAGAGAAGCGGGGCAGACCACTGCCCCGAGCATGTTCTCCAGAAGTGAGGCCTTTTCTACAACTTTCAGGTGGCCTGTTGACAAGATGCTGCTGAAAGATGCTGCTCGGAGAGTTAGAGCAACAGCTCTGTCGACCCAGGGGGATGTCTGTGGTCAGGCCAGGAGGCAGACAGACGGTGGCCATCCTTGTCTTCCTGATAGGCCCACCCCGACACTGTCCTTGCTGTTATATCCTGGAGGTTTGTCCTTCTCTGTAACCTTCCCATATCCTGGTCATCCCCTGACTGGACACCACCTCTGTCAGGGACAGATGGGTGCAAGGCATCCATGCTGTGGCTCCTCCAATACACAAAGAGGCTTCCAGCCCTGTGCAGGCTGTGGTCATGTGAGCCTAGAGTCACAGGGACCCTACCCCCGCTATCTGGTGGGCTGCTATAGCAGCAGGGTTCTGAGCACAGACTCTGAGCCACACATCCTGGCTAAAAGATCAAATCCCAGCGTGACTACATTCCAGTGTTTGACCTTGGGCCAGTTACTGAACTTCTCTGTGCCTTGCTTTTCTCCTCTATAAAATAGAGATGGAAATAGTAGTTGCCTGCAGGGCTCCTGTGAAGATTGAGTTACTATGTGGAATGGTCTTAGGAGACTGCCTGCCCCAAAGTAAGTGCCGAGTGTCAGCCCTTAGCATCATCGTTGTGGTCTGGGCTGGAGGAAGCCTCACAGAGAAGGTGTGTCTCCATGGCCCAGGACCCTTCAAGTCCTGACTCCAGCCCAGAACCTGACCTGCCTGCAAGCCTTTCGCTCCCCATCTAACCTTCCCCAGTCCTCGAGCAGGAGATTGGCTGCACCCCTCCGCTCTCACCATAGGCCCTCCCTGGCTAGCTCATCACGACTCTCTCCATTGGACTTAGCAATTTGCTCTCTGATCCCTCCCTTAGAGTGTGGGCAGTCTAAGACTGTGGCTTCCCATTGGCTCTCTCCACAGAAGGAGAAGAATGGCAGGCAGAGCTTTATCCATCCATTGGGCTAGCCTCAGCCTCCCGGAAGCTGTTACCTGAAGGGAAGGCACAGCTCCCTCACTCTCTTGTTGTAAATAGGTCAGGAAAAGCACATAGCAAACCACTGCGATGGTGGTCTGTTGCTGTCGTGGGAGCCCTGAATCCCAGGGGCCCTGGGTTCTGATCCTGCCCTAACCTCTGTGTGTGGGACCCTGGCCAAATCCTTTCCCCTCTCTGGACCTCAGTTTCCCCTTCTCAGAGAGCTACGCTAGACCATTGCTGAGGTCCTTTCCACGCTGACATTTGGTGATTTTATTGAAGCCCCATGGTTCAGGCGCTCTTTGAGAAAAACAGCCAGTCCTCCTTCCCATAGTCACAGTATCTTTCCCCATCATCACCCACGTCACCCTTCCGGTGCCTAAGAAGCATATCTGAATGGAATCATCTCTGATTTTCCCAAGCCCCCAGCCATGGGGAGGAGGAACTGAGACATAGGAACCAGGCTGAGCACAAAAGGAGCTTTTGAGGGTGAGTGGTGGATTGGCGTCTGCCAGAACCAGGAGTGGGTGTCGGATCAGGGAGTCTGGACCTCATGGGTATTTGCTCCATGGGCTTCCAGAAACACGGCTCGCCCCTGGAAAGCTGGAGCACCCCCTCCAGGCGGGAGTGGGCCCTGGCTCCCCTCTGCCTGTAGACAGCAGGGCCACCTGGCAGCTGCTGCAGCTTCGTGGCTGGAGGGTAGGCCCTCGCACGCCCTCCCAGCAGGCTGTAATTAGGCATATTTAGTCAGGCCACTCTCCTTAACATCAACGCAGCACTGAGGCCTGGCCTGGCCACCACATCGCATGTGGTGTCTGCCACACCCAGAGGCAGAGCTTCTGCCCCAAGCCCTTTTCAGTAACTCGCCCATCCTGCCCACCCCCAAGAAAAGCAAAAATCACTTACAGGGGGGCCACGGGGACCAATGATGGACATCCCGGCATCTCCTGGGGCCCCCTATAGGACAGAGAGAGAAGAGAGGGATAGGGAGCAAGGGAAGGGGCAGGAGGCGAGGGTGGGGAAAGAAGAGTCAAAGGGAGGGGCTGGCAAGGGGGGAAGGAGAGGCATGCGAAGGCGGGGTGCCAGCGGAGGTGGAGGGCAGGGGGGCCAGGGGACACAGAGGAGGAAGGAAGATCGGGGGACGGGAGACACACAGGGGATGAATGAGACATCCAGAAAAGATTGAGAAGGGCAGCAGGAAGAGTAAAGCAAGAAGAGATGTAGCAAGAGCAGAAGATGCGGGGACCAGGGAAAGAGGGTGGTGGGACCTCAGACGGGGAAGCGGGAAGAAGAGGATTCAGTGCAGTGATGGAAAAGAGGGTGGCACAGGGTGGGGGAGGGAAGGAGGAAGCGGGGGGACACAGCTCAGCCATGGCTGCTCAGGCCCCAGAGGCCTCTCCCCACAGCCCTGCCCAGGACACTCTCCAACCTGCCCCAGCCCCAGCCCCAGCCCCAGCCAAGTTTCAGCCCCCTGGGTCTTCTTCCCCACTCCCACCCCCAGCTACCCATGTGGCTGCACTCCCTGCAACTGGTGAATGGCGAGTGGCCTGCCCCATGCATGGAGCTACTGGAAACAGAGGGTGGGGACGAGACACACACGTGCTGTGTGGGCCCAGCAGCCCTGAGCCTGAAGGCTGGAGATGCTGGGAGCTTCCTCACCCTAGTTTCAGAGTGACACCGAGGGGGTACGTTTGGGCAGAATTTGGTGGGGAGGGGCAACAGAAGGAGGATGAAGGTGCGTAGAACAGAGATGGAGGTGAGAGGTGATGCTCTGACAGGATGACCCAGCCTGTGCCCTGCTGGGAGGAGGGCAGGGTGCCGTGTCCCACAGAAAACGGCGACTGGTGCGCTCCTTGCCTCTGGGAAGGGTGACTGCCTAAGTCTCAGAATCAGAGCTCCGAGGCCACAGGCAGCCTCAGCAGGTAGGGGAGACCCACTCGGCCAGCGAGTAGGAGCCTTAGCCCAGGAACCCCAAGACCCTGCCCGATGGTGTGGAAGCTGTTAGGAAACTGGGCCATGAGAGGCTGACAGCACAGCAGGCCTGACTGGCAGCTCTGCTTAGCCTGCACGCCAGCAGGAGGGCTGAGCTGGGGGCCTCGGGAAGGCCCCCAGGAGTCCACGGGGGTGGAAGCGAAGGCTGGGGCAGAAGGGCAGAAGGGAAAGTGTGGACTCACCTTCTCACCTGGTTGGCCCTTTATTCCCTGGGGCAGCCACATGCAACACGGGGTGCAGGGAAGTGAGAGAGGGAGAGAAAAAAGAAAGGATGAGAGAGAGGCACACACACAAGAATCTGTGTTGATGGCACAACAACCAAACAAAAGAAATCACCGTGAAATAAGAAACAAAACAAAACACAGATGCTGACACATGGCAGGTCCCGCATCCAGCAAGCACAGGGTGTGGGTGGCTATTTTGACTCACCCCTGGTCTGGCCCCAGCCAGCCACTCCAGACAATGGACAAAACAGTAGCAGGGGCCTTAGGAGGCCTTCTCCAGGTATGTGTGTGTCTGTGTGTGCATGTGTGTGTGTGTGAAAGAGAAAGAGAGACAGAGACAGAGAGAGAGGGAGAACCCACCCAGGTCAGAAAGTCTGCCTGAAAACCATGGCCCCAGAGAGGGGCCGTACAAGGTGGGGGTGGGCATGGGGAGACTTTCCCAAGGACTGCATTGTAAGGCGGGATCTAGCTGGTACAAGGGTCCAGCTGAGCACCAAGCACAAAGCTTTGCCAAGCTAGACACACCAGGAGTCCTTAGGGCTGGCCAGGCGGGAGAGGGGTTGGAGGAGCATAGAGGGACAGATAGTAGGACACACACATCTGAGAGGATGGAGGACGGAGGATGGAGGATGGATCTGGGATGCAGAGGAAAATGGGTAATTGCCCAGGGTCCCTATAACCATAGTGACCAGTGGACAAACAGCCCCCATCAACCATGATCCACAGAAGCCAGTGGTGCCACCCCCAGTGAACCACAGGCACAACTCAGGCATCTCACAGCCACTGGCCACCCCAGTTATCATCAGGTGGCTTACATCAGGCCTACCACTGGGTGGCCAAACGGGTCTCTTGCCACATTTAAAATAGCACAAGCAGCATGGAACCCCCAGCTTGAAAACAGCTTTGTGTGGAAGGAAACGGGAGCCCTCCTGTGCTCCCGTCTCACCGCTGTGGGCCTGAGCTGGGCTCTGATGGATACCTGCTGGGCAAGAAACAGTCCACAGGGCCCCAGAAGGAGGGTGGGGGGGGCAGCAGTGGGGGGCAGGCCTGGAGGGGCTGCTCTGCATTTTTCAACCTGCCTTGCAGCCTGGTAGCTGCACTCAGAGTAGAGTGTCCTGAAGCTTACCTGTTAGGGGCAGAGAGTTTGGAGTCTGACTGTCAGCTTGGGTGCAAAACCCAACTCCGCCCCAGATCTGGGCTGACTGAGTTTCAACACGCCCATCCACACGGCGGGATCGGGGAGGGCGACAGTGGAGAACGAGCAGGGCTCAGGCCCACCCACCGCCAGCCCCCAAGAACGGCTGGCTGGACATCGTTTCCCTGCTCTGCACAGAGAGGGACCCAGTGACAGTTTGGGGGGCTCTGTGTTTGGAGTCGGAGAACTGAAGGACAGAGACAGGGTCGGGCAGGAGTTCCACGGCGCTGTGGCCTGGGACATGGTGGGACAGCCTCACGTGGAGCGGCACAGCGCTTCCAGCCTCCGTGTCTTGACAGAGAGCCCTTGGGTGGGCCTGGGGACCTCAGAGCTCTGTGACATGGAACACTTGTTCTGAGCCTCTGAAATGTCCCAGGTCCTGGACCTGGGCACTGTGGCTTCACCTTAAGGATCAGACCCTCTATAGAGCCCCGAGGCCAATGTCGGGGAGGGAAAGCAGCTTTGCCAGGGTCAAGGGCACAGGTCTGGAGTCAGGCTGCCTGGGTTCAAGTCCTTGATCAGCCATTCCCGGGCCATGTGACCGTGGGAAAGACACTTAACATATGAGCCCCCATTGTCTCATCTGAAAGATGGGGGTGGGAACTGTGCCCACCTCCTGCAGTTCCTGTGAAGCCAAATGAGCTGATGTGTGTAAGGCTCTTAGCACAACGCCAGCACGCAGTTAGCACTCTCAAGTGTTAGCTATGGTCTGGATGCCTTTTCTCTGACACCAGGCTCACACGCGCAAGCAAACTCACACGCGCAAGCAAACTCACACATGGATGCCGTACCCAGGCCTAAAGCCAAGCAGCCCAGGAGGTGAGGTTATGAGGAAAAGCACGTGAGTGACATGAAAAGATGGCATAGGGGTCACCGGGGGGCACCTGGGAGGCAGGGTAAAGGTTGAGGCTGATGGCAGGTGGGGAGTTAGGGCTCAGACAGGGTGGTGGTGAGGCTGGCATACGGCTATCACGGCCTTAGGCTGCCAGCCTGTGTCTCCCCTGCCCTTCCTAGCCCCTCGGAGGCTGAGAGTCATCAGGACAGTCCCTAGCACTCAGACCTCCAGGCCTGGCGTCGGCCTTCCCATTCCTGAGACATCCTCGCCCTGCCCACCATTCTCGCTCCGCTTTCGCCATCTTAATTTTTCAGTAGGAGACGTTAAACGTTTGAGCTCCCAGCCTCTTGCTGAGGATCTGAAAGCACTAGCTGGGGCAAGCCCCGTCTTCACCACCTTCGGTTTCTGTCTAGGGAAGGTGCCCCCATAGCTGGCTCCCCCAGTCTCCACAGAGCGTTGGAGGCTGCAGTTCTCACCATCTTTTGCTGCTCTTGCTGGGGCAGCAGGGAGAGGGGAGGTCTGGGTGGGGGAGTGGGGTGGCTGCAGGGGCAGCTATAAACCTGACGGTGGGCAGCCAGCCAGCCTCAGGGTTGGAGTGGATGCAAGTCCCCTCAATGTTGAGAGGAATTCAGGCCTCACCCTGTCTTCCCAGTAGGTGATTGGCAAAGAGCTTTATTTATGCTTTTTCTTGGATTTTTCCTTTGCCATGGCAGCTCTCTGGAGGGTAAAGCCATATGGCAAGATCTGAAGGGTTGAAATAAAACATGTCTTCTCCTGGCCTGTGCCTCTCTGAAGCTGACTTCAGCGAGGGAAGAGGGAAGGCCAAGTACCCCCTTTCCCCCTTTCCCAGGAGGGCAACACCTTGCTATGGTTTGGAGGGCAGGCTAGCGTGGAGAAGCAAGCAATGGCCACCCAAGCAGGGGAAAATGCGCCAACTCACCACACGTCCAGGCATCCCAATGGCACCTTTGTCCCCCTGATGAAGGAGGCAGAGACAATTAGATGTGGCTGGAGCGGGGCCAGCACGGGAAGGGTCCCATGGGCTGGCTGTGCACTCAAGACCTGCTCTGCACGGGCAGTTGGGCCGATGCCCAGGCATCGTGTGAGTGAACTTGCCCATTCAGCCCCACAGACCGTCTGGCAGGCAGCCACCCCTACTGCTATCTACAGGGGGCATGGTGCTGCGGTAAGGGCACTAATGTGGGAGTCTGGACCCCCAGCCGGGGCCTCAGTTTCCCTATGGGTTCCATAATGGGTCCAAGGCTCTTCCTCCCTCAGACTTCTGTTGTTGCGATCTGTTCCAGCTACAGCCAGAACGTACCACATCCTTGTCACACTCAACTTCAAGGCACAGAGCAGGGTGAGGGGCAGCTCCCACGTGACAGGTGAATCACTTCCCTAGGTCTGTCTTTGCCGAAGCTGGGGAGCAGTGCCCCCACTCCCTGGCTGAGGAGGCTACAGACAGAGCCCTTCCACACCCCCTTCCTCACGGCCACCCCCAGTACCAGCAGGGAGGACCGTGAGCCATGTGGATGCAGCCGCATCATGAGTTTCAGCTGCTCAGAGGGAAAGCTTTGTTTTGTAGCCAGGGGTTACATCTTCTCACTCTGGAAATCCGCTTATTAAGTTTTGTTCCTCCCCTTTTGGTAGAAAATATTTTTTTGCAATTATACATGTGCAGACATCATAAATTCTGGGGTGGGCCTGGGGTTTGCTGGGAGCCTGGAAGGCTGGAAAGCAGTGGGGGCTGAAAATGAGACGGTGTTTGTCCCGCTGGGCAGGTGAGAGCTGGGCTTGTGGATTCCCCTGAAGGGTGTGGGCATTTCTGGGGTGATTCCGTGCCTGCTGACCCCACTGAGGCAAAATGTCTTGAGGGGCAATCAGCGTCCCAAGATGTATGTGGATGTACTGGCAAGTCGCGACTGGCTCTGAAATTAGGCTCTTGTGACATGTACCTTGTCAAGACCAAGGGTATCTTTAGTAACACGTTCTTGGCTGCGTGGCAGGGTAGCCACATTGGTTATAAGCCTGGATCTGTTTCCTTCACTTCCCTGAGCGTCTGCACCTCCGTCGTGGGGCTGTTGGGGGGCTGCTGTGAGGCGACATCTCCGGAGCGCTTACTCCCAGCGCCTGCCTCCCGAGGAGTGTTGTCTAAATGGCACCTATGGGTGGCAAGCCCGGTGGGCAAGTGAATTCTATAAGTGTGTTCGTCCCTCACACACTTCGCATTTCACAACAAGGGGCCGGCACCAGTGACTCCTTCGCGGATCCCTCCCAGGTCCCTTCACGCAGGAGCATGGTGAGCAGGGACCGGGGCCTGTGGATCCGCGGCCCTCACTGCTGTGGACACCAGGCCCGCTGAACGTCGAGTGCGACATCCCCACGGCCCACTCACTCCTGGGCTTTTGAATGATATTGCAGGATGTGTGTTTGGGTTGCTTCTCATTTCATTTTAAAAACTAATGTTCTTTGCAGTCCTGGCCATAAAACGCTCAGGTTCGGGACGGGCGGGGAGTGGCCAGCGACTGGAAACTATGTGCAGCGGCCCCTGCTCTGCGACTTGCCCCCAAATGCTTTTTAAAGATGGATGTCATCAGAAAAAAACAAAGTCTGCCCACGTTCCCCCCAAGTCATCTGATTTTTTTCCCTCCTTGGGTTTCATGGGACCCACTCACCCTTCCTCCTCTGCTTCGGGGCTTGGACTTACTGGGAGTATTTCCATTTTCAAGGCTAAATATTCTCCCACATGCATTTCATTAAGAAAGTCACTGCTGGACATGAATTCTAGAAGCTGTTGGATTAGTCACGAGGTTATAGTATAATGCATGTCAAAAGGGGTATCTGGGTAAGAGGGATGCACAAAGGGTGTGTGATTCAGAGGATGCGGTCCCTGGCGCAGGGAGAGAAGACCCCCTGGTGCCAGCCCTGGATCGCACGCCGCACCTCACCTCGGCCCTCTGGCAGGCTACGGCATTCCTGCCCGAGTCTCTCCCCATCCATGGGCCCACAGCATCCAGCACTCAGTACGTATTTGCCCCAGGCTGTACCTCACAGAGCAACCGATGTCTTCAAAGACTTTAAAGATGGTTCTCAGACTTGGAGCACGGACCACAGGAAACAGCAGTATGGAATGGGGTATGATAACATGAGCTTCCAAGAGCTTTACAACGGAAGCTTGCACAATTGGACAAGGTATTTTACCTCTCTGGGTCTCAGTTTTCTCACCTATAAAATGGGCATAATGATACCCATTTCACTGAGTCATTGAACAAATCAAATGGATGAAGAGTGATTTGCATAGTGCCTGGCATGGATTAAGGTCTCGATGAGAGGTGGCTATTACTATTATTTCTACTTCTATTCCAAAGCCCTCGTGGTTCCTTGGCATGGCCTCTCTAGCTTTCAGAAATGGTAACTGGGGTGAAAACAAAGTTTTTGAGTTTGTTCTCACCAGAGGGCAGAGGGTAAAGCAGAGAGAGTGGTCTTAACCTAAGCCCGTAGGCAGGCGGATCCTCCCCCTTCCAGGCCTCCATTATAGGGCCGTCTGTCTGAAGCCAGGTCCAGCGCTGAAGGGGCCTGAATGCTGTATCTGCCTGCCTGGGCCCCGGGAAGGTACGAAGGAGCCTGCCCCTCAGCTGTGGGCAAGAGAAGCTGGAGAGAGGCCTCTTGCCCAGGTATGTTTGGAGGAAAGCAGCCACCCAAACTCGCCAGTCCCTGGACTGAGAACGAGCACGTGAGAGAGATTCGAAAGGAGGAAGAAATAAAAGCTACTTACCGGGAGGCCAGGTCTTCCCATAGGACCCTGAAGTGAAGGGGGAGAGGGAAGTTTACAAAGGTACGAGCACTGTGGTACCCGATGCTGCCACACCACCCAGCCAGCGGTGCGCCCTGTGTGTGCTCTATGGGCCTGTTATTTTACGGACACAGCAAAGGGAGGGCCTTGATCACATCCAAGGGTCACATTCAACCAGGGCTGACAGCTGGTCATCATGTATTTCTTTATATTCCTCCAGAGAAAGAGACGTCCCCACTTCCCTTAGTCATCTGTTCCAGTATCACAGTTTCCATAATTAAGAAATGCTCTCTTAAATCTAGCGCAGGCATGGCCAACAGATGTCAGTGTGAGCGTGGGTCCCAGTGGACTACCTAAAGCACTATGTTAAAAAGCCTCTGAATCGATTAGCAATGTCTGCCATGGGCAAGAGGAGTTGGGCAGTGGTGGCCACACGTTTCATACCACTTAAGTGATTCCTGCTGCTACTTAAAGCCACCCTCCATGGCTGTGTTTTCTAGGTACCAGCAGTCCTTGTGCTCACAGGGGCCTGAGTCTTCCAACTGGAGGACAGAGCCACCCTAGAAGAGGCTCCTGCGATATAACCAAAGGGCCACAGACAGGCATTTTGACAAGCTGCCATCTCCGTATCCCTCACCTCTGGCCAACGGTATTCTTTCTTTGCAGAAGCAGAGAGAATAGGGCTAGGGGGTGATTCCCAACGTGGTCCCATTTCCTCCTCCTCCTGCCTTGTGGTCTCAGGCACAGTTAAAAGGTTCAGGACTCTTCTGTGTCATACTGAGAATATGGGAAAGCTACTTGGGCTCCTCCCCATCACTCAGTGACTATGGTGGTGGCCAGGTGGGTAGGGATTATAAGGAGAGAATCAGATGCAACCCCTGTCATCTGCTCCTGCACTGCAGAGCCCATGGGAGTGGCAGCACCAGCTCTGGCTGGCAACAGTCCCCAGGAAGCTCTCAGGATGCTGCAGGGACCCAGAGCTGAGCTGCCGGGGTGGCCCAGCAGCCTGGCTGTGGAGAGACATGTGTAGGGGGGTCCCAGGAGTGGGGGAGGTGAGGACTTTTTCTGGCTTTGTCAAAAAAGAAGGAAAAGCCAGCCCATTTCCAGCAGGTGGTCTGTCGAAGTTTCCTATGGAGGAGTTTATTTTGGAAGATTGATGACAGGAATTGAGATCTGACATCCAAGACATGCCATGATAAATCATCCTCCTCCTTTCAGGGAGTTTCCTCCCTCTCTGTAACTCAGCAGGCAGGGAGCTGGGCAGCACCATCAGCCCAGCCGGCTCAATGTGCGGCTCAGGACACAGGGGGAAGAGTAAATAACATCTAATCACAGGCTGAGCTGACTGCTCTTGCAGGCACGGAGCAAGAGGGAGAAAGCTACAGAACTGCCTTCTCGGGGCAGGGATGAAACCCGCTGCTTTCAGCAACCTTGAGAAAGATCTGATGCCGAGGGCTGGGCCCTTTCAACTTCAGTCTGCAGCTGCCCCTGTGACCTCTGGGTCTTTTGTTGGGATATCAAATGCTGTCCTCAAGAAGACACGCTCCTGTTCTCTGGATCTATTACTGCGGGGGCCAGTTTCCCTGAATGCTTCTCAGGTTCTCTGGCAATGACTGGGCTCTCCGCCCCGGGCCTTAGGGCGAGGCCAGGGGAAGGAACCCCGGAGTGCCGCCTGTAATTTGTGTTGTCTTCTAATCGAACAGGCCAACACGGTTGTCTTAATGACAACAGCAACAGCAACAACAACAACAACAATCACCACCACCATCACCTGCCCAAAGTGACTTGGCTAGAATGGAGCTACCCTCACAGCCACACGGGCGTCGCGTCCTTAGGGCCGGTCCACACTTACAGCTGCTCACTGACCCATTCGCTGAACGGGCAGGAGGCTTTCCAAGGACCAAACCTGAGTCGAGATGATCTCTTTCTTCTTTTTAATACCTGGTGCTTCTTTGACTCCAGTTCTTTGGGGGACAAAGGAGCGGGACTAACAATGGGGCATGCCAGCCTTTCAGATTGAAATTGGGACCTGCTTTGGGGGCAGCTGCTGTCTGGCCCTGGAGGGGTGCAGAGGTGTGCGGAAAGCAAAATGGCAGTCTGCTTCCCCGCACCAACAATCTGGAGGGACCCTGCAGGCTCTGGAGGGCATAGGGGCTCCCCGGGAAGATAGCGGTCAGTCCCCCCTCCCAGGGCCCGGTTACCAGCAGGGAGTAAGGCCTTTCAGATGGGTGAGACCCGGCTGCAGCTGGAGTTACTTACAGGAGGTCCTGGAAAAGAGAGAAAATGCCAGGGTCAGTGTCGCTGGTGAAAGTATGGGGAAGACTGCCTTAGAAGCAGCGTCCAAGAATTCTTCAGCGGAGGGGTTTCCATCTGGTCTTCAAAGTTTGTATTTTCCTGGCCCACTTTCACCAATGTAATCTCTTCTCCCTTTATTTCATCTCCAAATTTTCATTATTGGATGAGAAATCCAGAGGTCTGGGCCCCAGGTGCAACCCTGCTGGGACCCTGACTTCCCGAAGAGCTCCTTCCACGCCTCAGTTTTCCACCCCATAAAATGGGCTCCTTGGGATGCTCCCGAGCTCGGGTACATAGCTGCTTGGCAGGACACGGGGTGGTGGGCACCAAGGCCCATTCATTGCAAAAGGTCAAAAGCAGAAGGGAACCTAAAGCGATTACAGTTATGAGCTCACTTGTCGCCCTCTCCACGCTCCCACGAAACGCAACGCAAAACAAGCGGCAAGCAGCAGGGGTGGAAGGAGGCTTCCCATTCGGTTCCCTGCCTGATGTCTATCGGCCTGTCCTAGTTTCTGTTAAGATGTGAGTCAGATGTTGCTTTTCTGCCCTCCTGGCTCCACTGCCCACTACCTTTCTCTCACCGCCTACCTCTGAGCTCCGGCCCCACCCACCCTCCGCACCCCTCTCTTTCCTTTCCTTTTCCCTCCCCTTCCCTCCCTTCCTTTCCCCTTCCCTTTCCTTCTCTTCTCTTTTCTCCTAGTTGTGCCCACTTGCCTCCCTCCTTCCCACGGCCTCAGCAATAGCCCTATCTCATTACTGACAATGGCCAAGAATTACAAATTCAAATCCTCGGCAAAAGGGGGCAGGAGGATGGGTGGGGAGGGAAGGTAGAGAAAAGCATCCATGGAAAGATAGTGAACTTGAAGGTATTTCTGCAGAACATGAGTCATGAACCCCCGGGGCCTATGGGATTCCCAGCTGGGCCCGGTGAGTCTGCTCAACCCCTGGCGACCTGGCTGCGTTAACACAGCTGCTACTTCAGTTGCTTCTTTTATGCTCGGCCAATAAAGACTCCTTATGTTTCCCCTCGCTCCTCACATTCTCAAAGCTGGCTTCCTTCTCTCCACCTTTATGTGCCAGCTTCTCTGTCCTGGTCCCCACCCAGGAGGAAACAGCCTCCTCAATGCCGGTCTCGTCAAGCCATTAGGTTGAGGGGGAACAAAAAAAAGTCAAGAGGTGTGTTGACTGGGCGAGGGGGCCCCAGCAGCCCTGCAGGCCAGCTTGCAGGCTCACAGAACAGCGGCAGGGGTGAGGTGGAGGGGAGCGCCTGGGACCTATTAGGCTGAGGGGCAGGGGAATGTCACCCAGAATCTGAAAATATCCCCCACGAGTACAGCTTGCCAGAGGGGCCCAGCCCTGCTGGGAAGCCTGCTCCTCCTGGCAGGGGGAAATGTCCTTATGAGAAGCAGGCTGGTGAAGTTCAGCCCACGGCAATTTTTGGATGGTTTAGCCACATGGAGGGCAGATGCCCCTCACCCTCCGGCCCTGACAGCTCTGGCGCTCAGTGCTGCAGGCTCTGGGGGAGTCCCTGGTGATGCAGCGGAGCTCTGGGGGCAGCCCTGCCTGCTGTGCGCAGTCTCAGCTGCACGGATATTACCAGATGTAGCGTTACCAGATGGAGCGGGGCGACCGATAGGGGATTTGGCCCTCCGTCGGGTCCCAGGAGAGCCACTTGCTCAGTCCACCGCTGAGTGATCTAAATTCTCCTGAAGATTTCAAGGGTTTTTATCATCACTGTACACAACTCTGTGGTCCTTACTACATGCCAGGTGTGATTCTAAGTGCTTTCCTTTAGGGAGAAGGTTCTATTGTCCCGACCTTTCAGATAAAGAAACTCAGGCACAGAAATGCTGAGTTGCTCCTTCAAGGCCCTTCACTGTGCTACTTCTCTCCATGCCTCTTAGTCAAAAAGTAACTCACCTCACCCCAAATTGTGCACAGAGCCATTCCCTCTCCAAACCTCGCAATGGCTCCTCTCTCTAGACCCAGCCCTTTCATCTCCCTTTCTGGGCTCCTTTTTCTGATGCATGGGAATTTGGCCCTGTGGAGCTCTTCCAGGCTAGCATTCCCTCACCTGTCCTTACAGCAAAGTATACTTCAGCAAACAGAACACACCTGTTTGTCAGTAATTCTGTACCTTAGGAATGGGAAGAGAGACAGGGAGTTATGAACAAGACTTGCTATCACAAACATTCCCCCTTCCCCCCCGTCAGTGATGATCCTGAAAGTTCCCCTAGGAAATCTTCAGCCCCCTTGGGAAAATCTAGCTGCTGCCCTGCCCCCACCAGCTTTCATCGGACGCCTAGATTTCAGAGCAGACGCTTCACCCAATGCTGTGTTCAGCACGTGAAGCATGAGATGGCTTTGTGCAATCCAGCAGTGCCTAGATGTCACTGGTTGATCTCCCACGTGAGCCACTTGCTCAGTAACGTGGCTGTTGACTGATCTGTCTCTCTAGCCAGTCACCAAAGGATATAATTGTCCTAAGCATCGCCAAGTCCCCATTGTACAGATGGGAAAACAGAGGTCCAGGAAGGGTAGTGACCTGGATGGGAGCATCCAGGTCTCCTGACTCCCTAGCCATGGGTCTTCCTAATGAACTGTACTATCTCTTATGCCTGTGTAGTTGACCCTGCTGAGGTACAGCCAACACTGCCACATTCCAAGGGAGGAGGACCCCACCCTGTGCCTGCAGCCCCAGGGAGAATCAAGAAATCTGTCCCAGTCCCCTGGGCGGGTGGGGGAGCAGAGCGGCCTGCAGCAGGTCCCCAGGGAAAGGTGCAAAGTGCTGCCTGAGATCTTCTGTCACCCACTGCCTTGGTGAGGACACTGCTGTCCATCCCAGGGGTTGGCTGTCCTCCTCCTAGTAAGCAGCAATGTCCCTTCTAAATGGACACATAGGAATGGATTCCTAGGGAGAATCCTGGGGTGGGTAGCGTTCTGGGTCATGACTTTCTTTAATCATTTTTTATATATTCATTCATTCAAAAAACATTTAATGATCACTTACCGTGTCAGTTTGTGGGCTGGGCTATGACTACATAGAGATGAATAAGGCACAGTTATTGCCCTTTGAGGAAAGAAAACTTCATTTTCTAAGTACCTAATACCTTCCAGGCCCGCTGCTAAACTCTAGTGATGTAGAGATGAATAACTCATTTCCTCCTGTTGAGAAGTCAACAGTTCCCTATATTAGAAAGCTGGAGAAAATCCAGCCAAGAGACCTAAACCAATGGAAGGATTTAAGGGAAAAGGTTTTCTGCAAAAGTATTCATTCATTCAATTAACAATATTTACTGAGTACTCATTATGTGGCAGGTACAATGCTTAGTACAGTTATTAGAACAAAACACTTAATCCTCACAACAACCAGGTGAGGCTGGCATTATCATCTTCATATCACAGATGAGGAACCTGAGGCTTAGAGGGTTGGCAACCTGCCTAAGGTGGTGCCCTTGTTTTAAGTGGCGATATCTGGGGTTTTTCTTTTCTTCCCTTCTCTTTTCTTTGTTCATTCCCTCCCCTCCCCTCCCCCCTCCCCTGCCCTTCCCTTTCCCCCTCCCCAGCCCTTCCCCTTCCTATTCTTTCCTTTCTGGTTTACTACAATTTCCCTATAGCAGAGCCTGCATTTGAACCAGGTCTCTCTTACTCAGAAGCCTGTGCTCTCCATGGAGGTCATGAAGCTCATCAGAGATGGGATGACCCTCCAGGTAAACTCTCACTCTCTTCCCAAAGGCTTGGGCCCGCCCAGACCCTGGATCCAGTCCTGGTTCTGGATAAGAAAGTAAAGAGTGGCAGGGTGTGCCCAAGTTCAGCGTCATATGAGCTGTGATCTCACCCTGCTTGACTGCCGGGCTCCCACCAGCTGGGGTCCCAGCCCTGACCCACGCCTCCTGGTGCTCGCTGCCAGGCTGCCTGCAGCTGACCACTTCCCGCTTGGCTCTGCCACGTGCCGACCCACCCGTTCTGCCAGGACAAATGCTCTGCATCCAGGGCTCCCCTTTGAGCTGGATGACTAACAGTGCCTGTCACACTCTATCTGCTGGAGCAGGTGTTCTCAGCCGGAGGTGATTTTGCCCCCCAGGGGATAATTGGCAAGATCTGGAGTCATTTTTTATTGTTACAACTGACAGGCTGCTTCTGGTCTCCAGTGGGCAGAGGGCAGGCATGCTGCTAAACATCCTACGGTGTGCAGCAACTTCTTATCACAGCGTTGTCTGGCCCCAGTGTCAACCATGCTGAGGATGAGAAGCCCTGCACTGGGCTAATGGCACCAGTTGTGCCTCCAGGCTCCCCTCGTGCCTGTGGTGCCCCTGGGTTGAGGCCCCAGCCCTCACTCAATGCTGGGGTCTGCCAACTTTTAGGATCCCATTCTTCTGTGGTTTGGGCTTTTCTAGCTCTACACGAGACTTTGTTAGGACAAATAGTAATTCATTTATTGAGCATTTATTCTGTGTCTGACAATATGCAAAGGACTTTATGTACCGTACTTCATTCACTCTGCCCAGCAAGCCAAGGAAACAGCTATTATTATTATTATTATTCCCAACGCACAGATGAAAAAGCCGAGGCCCAGGGTTAAAGCACATGTTCACGGTCGCAGAGCTGATGCGTGGTGCTAGAACCCAGATCTGTCTGACACCACCGCAGCATAGACGCAGCTTGACACACCTCCCAGGACCACAGTGTCCTGAAGCTTAAAGGAGGGACATGTTGGAAAAATAAAGGAGGAGCCTCTGCCTTAAGGAGGGCTGCAGGAGGGAAGTTTGAAGGAGGCTTCAAAACCTTCCAGATAAATTCGTCAGTGACAAGGCATGATGGCCAGTTAAGGGAAACCGAATGAGCTCTGCCCTTTGAGGCTGCCATCAAAGAGAGCGAGCCCTTCTCTCCCACAGCCCCGTGGCAGGAATACCGACTTTCCAGAAAGGACCAAGGACGGTTTCTGGGGCAGACGGTCTGGATCTGGTGCCCT